AAGCAGAGTTGGTGTTATATATAAATTTAAATAAATATATATATATTAGTACTGAGGATTGAACTCAGGGTTTCATGCATGATAGACAAGTGCTCTGCCAATGAGCTACATCCCCACCCCTTGGTTGGCATTTTTGTTTTTAGTTATATGCAGGGTGGCAGGTGGGGTTCACCTGAATAGATAATAATAAATTTGTTCCAAGATCTATGTAGAATACACACTTCTTGAAGAAGTTAGGTTTGTAAAAGTTAATGGACTCTTAAAACATTATTTTTTTTGTACTGATAGTGTATGTTCATATGGCACTTGTATATGTCAAGTGCTGTTTGGAATACTGTGCGTGTATTAACTAGTTTCTTACAATAGCCTTGTAATAAATATCACCACCCTACAAATGATGAACTGAGACACAAAAAGATTAAGTGCTTTGCCCAAGATCAAATAGTTAATTAGTATCATAGTTAAGTTTTTTTTGTTTTTTTTTTTCCCAGTACTGGGGATCAAACTCAGGACCTTGTGCTTGCGAGGCAGGTGATGGCACCACTGAGCTAAATCCCCAGCCCCCATAGCTAAGTTTTGAATCTAAGAAGTCTAGATTCAGACTATGTGCCCTTAACCACTTCACTATACCTGTATGGTGTTCACCTATGGCTTAGCAGAGAAACCAAACCATTCTCACCAAATTGAAATTCTCACAGATAATAAAAATCAAACAATAAAAAAAAAAAAAAATTCTAGTTATATTATCATTATCATTTTAGCCTTTGTAATTTTTTTCAGTATCTGTAAACACTTTGAGAATTAAAACAAAAAAAGGTATTTTATTTTAGTTATGTATTTATGTATTAATTTTCTTTGAGACAGTATCTTGCTATGTTGCTCAGGCTGGCCTTAAACTCTTGTATTCAAGCAATCCTCCTTCTTCAGTGTTCCCAGTAGCAGGGACTATAGGCACGTACTGTATGTCCAGTGGAAAAAAGTTTTTTTTTCCCCAGTACCGGGGCTTGAACTCAGGACCCTATGCTTGCCAGGCAGACACCGCGCCACTGAGCTACATGCTTGGCCCAGAAAAAAAGTATTTCAACCACAGAAAAACTTTGATCCAAATGAAAATTCATATTCTACGCAATAATAAAGCAGCGTTTCTTTTCTGATTTTGGGGGTTATTTCTGCACACACCTGAATAGCAATGGAATAGTTTCATGGTGCTCTTGGTGAACTGTGTGTCAGTTCATCTAAAGTCAGCCTGATTTTGTGAGACTTGGAAAGGAGAGCATCTATCTCTTTCCACCCAGTCTTTTCACTGTTATGTTCCTTTTTTGCAATGGTTCCCAATGTCTCAAATTTTAAGCCAAACTTCAGGTGGTAACTAATACTTTTAATAAAGCAACTAGGAAAGCCAAAGAAATAGAATAATTGGGGCTGGGGATTTAGCTCAGTGGTTTCACCGCCTGCCTTGCAAGTGCAAAGACCCGAGTTCGATCCCCAGTACCAAAACAGAAATAGAATAATCATTATCAAGTTATTTGAGAATGAAAGACTGCATCAGTCTTAAGATACAAGAGTGCATAATGGGGATGAATGGCAATGTGTGTATATAAATCACTTATCTTTCTGTCTAATACATTCTCTTTAAGTAACATAAAATAAAGATGAGCAAGTTCTGACTCAGAAACAGAGTGGAAGATATATATATTTTTTCCCTTTGTCATGAAAAGAAATCCTGACCATGTGCACCGTGAGTGAAGCATGCCAGTAGGAAGATTTAACTTTACTGTCAAGCATTGTAAGGGAAACAGAAATTCATACGGTTAGGAAGACTGTAAAGGAGTTCAAGAGGAATTCATGGCTGTACGAGGAATGAGGCTACAATTGCTTCACACTGAGATTGTAGAGTGTATACAACCCACCTAGATCAAGACATAATTTCAAAACATTAAAATCAAATAATAATAATATAACATTTTACTATCTTCTTGTGAATTTTGTAGACTTTTAAATTTTACTCTAGGCCGGCTGCTGACAAGGGTGTTTAAAGGGATTTTTAGTTGGACGGCAGAAAAACACAAGGCTTCACAAGTCCCAGCTGTGTTTGCTAATGAGCTGAGCACGTGGTGGGGACTCACACTGGACTGACTTGACAGGTGGAGGGGGGAAAGGGAAGGCCGGACGCCGTAGCGTGTGGAGCCGAATGTGGGAGAGGGTAGACTACGGCGGATTCCAATTTAGGAGGCCGAAGAGCGGTGAAGGGACCCAGGGTCCGAAAAGACCTGAGTCAGTCATAGACGTGCAAAAGAGGTGGGCACCCGGGGAACCCACCCGGCGGGGAGGAGGGGTGTGGGGCGGGGCCGCCGCCGCGAGGCCCTCCCCCGAGTAGCGGAGGTGACTGGGCGGGCGGCGGGAGACGCTCTGTCCCACGCTCGCCCGGTGCTCGGTGGTTTAAAGATGGCGGCGGCAGTGGCGGCGTTGGGGGCACGGATCCGCCAGAGTGGGTGGGAAAAGGAGACTCTGTGAGTCGCCGAGAGCTAGCGCGGCGGCTGTGTGAAGAGTCCTGGTGCGGAGCTGCCGGCGGCCGGGCCCTGAGCCAGGGCAGAAACAACAGACCTGGGCCGCGCCAGGAGCCTGAGGCCGGAGCGGAGGAGGAATGTGACCAGGGGTCGGTGGGGGCGCGGGAGTACGCGAGCGCAGGGATGGGGCAGCAGGTGGGCCGCGTCGGGGAGGCTCCGGGGCTCCAGCAGCCTCAGCCTCGCGGGATCCGGGGCAGCAGTGGAGCCAGGCCCTCCGGTCGCAGGCGGGAACCGGCAGGGCGCACCACCGAGACCGGCTTTAATATCTTCACCCAGCATGGTGAGTGTGTCCTGGAGCCGGCATGACGGCTTGGGGGAGGCCGGGGGTGCGGTCGGGGCGGGATAGGAAGTGGAAGGCAGCCCTAAGGGGTCGCGGGGTAGAGGGGTGCCTGAGAGCGTGGGCGGAATCGGCTGCCATCTGGGCCAGTTGCGGGAGGCAAGTCACACCCCTCCCCCCTCCCGTGTCCAGCCTGGCTGGCAGCTCCTGGGAGCGGTGGAGGAGCAGTGGTCTTAGGGACCGTGGATGGGCTGTCCTCTGCCCTGGGACCCGACTGTGCAGCTGGAGGAGGACAGTGGATAGTGTCCCTAGGGGAAGGATGAAGGGAGGTGTGAGCGCTGTCTGGGAGGTGGGAAGATAGACCGGTTGTTAGCGAAGGGAACATGAGTTGTGCCCCCAGGGATTGGCAAATAGGAACTGAATCTCGGGAGACTATGGCGTGTAAAGTATGTGTATATGTCGGGCGATGAGTGTCAGAACGGTGAATTGTGAACAGTTCCCTGGCATACCATTCTATAGGAAAGATAAGGGCAGTATGTCATCACGTTTGACACTTTGGTTTTTGTTTTTTAAATTAGAAATGAAGGGCTTTCCCAACCATCGAATTCTATGCCTTTGAGTGGGACACAGGATTCTGAGATGGCTGGAAGGGGCTAATAGGTTGGTAGGCATGGTTAGGGGTTCAGTGTGCATAGGAACAAGATTATTTTGTGTGTGTCTTTGTATGCAAATACATACATATATGTATCCTTTATATAGTCTGGAGCCTATTTGGTCTCTCTCTATATTTTTAGAAGAGTTACCACCAGACTCTTAGGTCGCACACTCTTATTAGTAAAAAATATGGGCATAATAACGTAGTATCTTTATTAATTATATATTTGTTGCAGTACTAATATGTAATTTATAAACAGAAATAGAGTATAAGAAGGAATGACATACCTGGCCACGAAGGTTTACGTCTGTAATCCCAGCACTCTGGAAGGCTGAGGCAGGATGATTGCAAATTTGAGAACAGACTGGACAATTTAGCAACTTGGCCAGACCCTTCCTCAAAATAAAAAAGGACTTGGGATGTAGCTCAATGTGAAGGTCCTGGGTTCGATCCCCAGAACAAGAATGAATGAATGAATAAATAAATAAGTAAATGAAAGAGCTGAGGATGTAGCTCAGTGTGAAGGCCCTGGATTCAGTCCTCAGTTATACCAACCCCCCACCATGGTGAAAAAATAAGTATAAAGCTGGGAATGTGGTTCAGAGTTAGAGTGCATGGAGGCACTGGGTTCAATTCCCGCCCCCTCCCGCCACACACAAAATAGAAAAAATTTTTAAATGGACCATATGAGGGCCAGGGATTTAGCTCAGCCGCACAGCACCTGCCTGGCAAGCTCAAGGTCCTGAGTTTGATCCGTGGTACCAAAAAAAGGGACTGTTTGAGTTATAATATTGTTTTCCTACAACCCAGTAGATTCGTTTGCCCTTCTTCAGCATTATTCTTACACCACTTTTGAGATCACCTTTCTAGAGGACAAAGTAGAAAAGGAGGAAAACCAAAATTAACCATGTGATTACAATACCTTGAGACCCAAGAGGGGCTGGAGATACAGATGTGACTTCTCTATGTGGATAATTGTTGTTGGTTTGTTTTATTTATTTATTTTTTGGTACTGGGGATCGAACTGAAGACCTTGCTATGTGGATAATTGAAATTGAGTTAAAAAGTAACAAACTGGATTTCTATTGATGATGCATATAGAAATAATATAAATAATATAATAAAGGAAGAAGAGGTAGAGTGAATCAAACCCAGGAGCACTCTGTCACTGAGTTGCATCCTTATCCCTTTTAATTTTGAGACAGAGTCTTACCAATTTGCTCAGGTTAGCCTCAAAGTTGGAATTATTCTGCCTCTGCTCAGCCTCCCAAGTAGCTGGGCTTATAGGCAGTACCACCAAGCCAGGCTCAGAGTGTTCTACACAGTTTACAGAAGAGGAAGAAGAAAAAGTGAAACTATTAGAAATGAAGTTTGGGGGCCAGGAATTTAGCTCTGGCACCACGCTTGCCTTGCAAGCACAAGGTCCTGAGTTCCATCCCTGGTACCGAAAAAAGAAAAAAGAAATGAAGTTTGGGAGGAAGTAATGATAGATGGTAGCATACAAAGAGAGATGAGCCCAAGGATGAGCCCTGTGGCTACTAGGTGAGTCAGTGTTCTGTGTTTGGACTTGTGAATAAACTGAGTTTACTCCTTAATGGAAGAAATACAGATGATTTGGGGCCATCCAGGCTTTACGTGTCTACTATTTAAGATGTATTCAGGCATGTCTTCAAGATATATGAATATTATATGTTAGTCTTTATTGGAATTATTTCCTAAAATATAGGAGAAAAGAATGGATTAGTAGTTTTTAGAGAAGTCATCCAAGTAACTTGTGGGAAGCATTACTGTTACCATGGATTAAACTTGGCCCACTGGACAAAAGTGATTCTCTAGTATCTTATTCAGGGCATAAGATTTTCAGAGAAGGAAGAAGTCATGAAGAATAGAGTAGGAAGATTTTGTTTGTTTGTTTTTGGTACCGGGAATCGAACTCAGGTCCTTGCCCTTGCGCTGCGAAACCACTGAGCTAAATCCCCGGCCCGAGTAGGAAGATTTTGAAGGGTGGATGTGATTTGAATCTTTTTTTTTTTTTTTTTTGGTACTGGGGATCAAACTCGGGACCTTGCATTTGCAAAGCAGGTGGCGGAACCATTGAGCTAAATCCCAATGTGATTTGGATCTGTGGAGCTTGTTGATGACCTAGTGAGGAGATAAGAGTGAAGTGGCCTTACCCCCTGGGGGGAAAAATCCTCGAGCAAAAATTGGAAGAGTCAAGATCTGGTCTGGGTTCTGCCTGACTGGAGTAGGTAACTTCAGAGCCTCACTGTAGGTACTTCATTAAAGCATAGAACATTGTTCTGAAGCTTTAGCATGGAGACTTTGTTAAAACAGATTACTGGGTCTCACCTCAAGAGTTTTCTGGCTTGAGTGTAAAGGGCTTGAGAATTTTCATTTTTGACAGGTTTCTAAGGCTTGATTCTGCTGCAGGATAGGGGCCATACTGTACTTTGAAAGCCACTGTTGTGAAGTGAAGAAGAGTAGGATCAAAGGTGATTCAAAGTTTGTCAGGAAACAATATATTGTTTCACTTCTTAAAACTAGTGCAAATGTCTGTGTTCCAGGTCTAGTATCCATCTGCATGCGAGTGACCACTGCCTTAAGACTATCTTTTTGATATTTTATCTTTAAGTGTTTATATGTTGAAGGCCTGTGAAAAAATGTACTTTTGAAAGAATCTGGAGTTATCAGGGGAAAGGGAAGGTGAGGAACATAGGGTTCTGCTGACAGTTATGCTAGAGTAGGATGTGTTTCAGATCCTGGAAGAATTGGGTGGTAAAATGTCATTTTTAAAATGCTATGTGTGCCTGGCATGTTCTAAAGCACTTTATAAAACCCTATTTACCCAAATGGAAACTATCACAGAACAAAGACATTGGGATATTTATTTGTGATTCTATAGTATTGGTATGATAGTGGCTTGTTACCTTTGGAGTATGTAGTTGTGGACATATATATATGTATGCAAGATTTTTATCTCATCTCTTAAGATCAGTGAGGAGATTTTCAGAATTGTGGGTGGCTAGAACTTTGACTAAAGTATTCACCTCATTTCTGATAGTTAAGGAAATGCTACTAATATTTCTCCCTTAAAAATGGAAATGCAGGCCAGGCATGGTGCTGCATGCCTGTGCTCAGGAGGCTGAGTTAGGAGGATCTCTGAGAGTTCAGGGCCAGCCAGACTTTCACAACAAGACTCTGTCTCAAAAAACCAGAAAACAGACTGGTGCAACCACTGTGGAAATCAGTGTAGAGTTTTCTCAAAAAACTAAAACTAGAGGTTCTATTTGACCCAGACATTCCCCTTCTTTGTATCTTCCCCAAAGAATTAAAAGCATCATGTCACAGTGATATATGCATACCCATGTTTATAGTGACACAGTTTGTAATAGCTAAAGCTTGGAAACAACCCAAATGCCCATCAACCGACAAATGGACAAAGAAGATGGGTGTTTTTTTTATACAATGGAGTACTACTCTGCCATAAAGAAGGATGAGCTTCAGACATTTATAGCTAAATTGATGGACCTTGGGAGTATACTCTTAAGTGAAATAAATCAGACACAAATGATTAAATAGCACATTGTTTCTCTGGTGTGAGAAACTGAAAGTGGAATTAAGGACTAAAGTACATAATAGATACTGGGAAATGGGAAGAAAATGTTCAAATGGGAAGGGGAACATGGGAGGAGGGAGAAAAGAAGGAAGGGACAAGAAAAAAAGTGAAAATAGAAGGAAAAAATGGAAACAGCTTTTGTATGTAGGGGAAGGGGCTTGAGGGGAGGGGGGGAATGGGAAAAAAGAGGCAGGATGTATATCATGTACAGGTGCCAGTTCCCTAAGATGAGTGTTGTCATTATGTATGCCTAAAAATGTACCAATAAATGTTTCACTATTTAAAAAAACAAGAAAAGAAATGTATATCAAGTTAGGAAAGATGTCTGCCTATTCCTAGTTTGCTACGTTTTTATCATGAAGGAGAATTATAGTACTTAGCAAATCTATCTGCTGAGTCAACCAAATGGTTTTATTTCTTTAATCTATTAATGTCATATATGATACTTTTTTTGGAGTCAGGGTCTTATTATGTAGTTCAGGCTGGCCTTGAACTCAATACATAACCCAGGGTGGCCTTGAACTCCTGGTGATCCTCCTGCCTTAGCACCTGGTGAATGTTTTTAAAGAACTACTGATTGATAATATTATGTGTCTCTCTCTCTCTCTATATATACACACACGTATATATATACACACGTATGTATATCTATACATATCTATATATTATGTATATATATATACATATCTATATAGATATGTATATATAGGGAGTAAGGTACTGATTGCCTAA